TTGTTTCTTTTGATAGTTTTTAACACGGAAGAAATGAAAAATGTTTATATATAAAAATGCTTGAAAGTAAACTCTTCACAAGGCCTTCACATAGTGGCGTCTCATGGGTCTGTTCTGCCCTCTTGTGGAACAGCCTTGGCTTTGCATTTCAGCATGCCAAAGGTCATGTCCGGACAGCAGTAAACCTTTCACCCTTTGACTGTGTGCCTTCAAAATCCCATTAAGCATGAGTAGCAGCAAGATACAGTGGGCCATTGCTATCCACTGAGGTTTGGTTGCAGAACTCTCCTAGATAACAAAATATATGGATGCTTACATCCCATTATATGCAATAGTTTGATATAAATGCCCTTTATATAAAACAGCAAAATCAAGGTTTGCTTTTTGGATAAAAAAAATAAAACATTTTCAAGCCATGGATGGTTAAATCTATGAATACATAAACCGGTGGTCCATCTGTAATAAGAACTTCTTATTTAGAAATGTCTTGAAGTTTACAATTAAAGGGGGACACTAGAACTGAGACTTAAACCAGATTATTAGGCATGTGCTATTTGCCACTTTGTTATCCGTTATTTATTCCTATGTGACTCTAGAAAGCAGCAGAATAGGCATCGTTTTTCCTGAAGAGCACTTACTAGCATTTGAAGTGTCATCATATCGATTGCTAAAGATTTTTATAGTGATGGTCTTTTTAGACAAGTTAAATAACAAACTGTTTATATAATCTCACCATATTTCTGAAAACCACATATTGAACTTTTTTGGACATTTCTGCTCTCTTTCAATTCTGTGCATCAGCAGATCTTCCAAATTTGAGTCCGAGTGTGAGTTGTTTTTTAAAATACTCATAACACTAGCCAACACACATTTTGGAACCTGAAATCTTAGACCACCTTCTAAGTATATTTGACATACTAATTTCAAAAATGGAATCAGTTTCTCCGTATCAGCTCTAGTTTTTGAGATGCAGAGCATACGACATCCACCAGTGTGCACCTGCTCATACACAGAAAATCATGATAAGCATATCTAAGAAAGTAGAGCTGATGTGGTCTGTCCAGTGCAATTTCCTAAATCAGTGCCCCAAATAACCTTAGAAACAGGCCTAAAAACCAAGTCACAAAAAATGGGGGGTTTGTTGGGCCATGTAATGATTCTGCCAATATATTATTATACTTTTTTCATTAATCCCTGAGGTTTGTATTTGTTGTTGTTTAGGCCTCATATGCCATTCTTTGACAACCTTTGGCAATGGAGATACAACAAACATTCAAACATGTAACAGATGGAAACAGACAAATATGCCAAGTCACATTACTGTGTCGTTAGATGATGAAAACTATTTATGCCCTAAACTGGAGTTGAATAAAAAAGAAATTTTCACCCAGGAAGGACAATATTAAAGACTGGGATGAAATTATAAAATATATGACAGTTGCTGTCCAAGCAACTATGATGTTAAGTTGGAAAAAACATAGAAAGTGGGGAGTAAAAAATAGTTTGGATATTTAGCAGATTTTATGCTCCAGGATTATATCCTTGAAAGGAGAACCAGAGAACCTAGATAGAGTAAAAGGAAAAGAAAAATACAAAGAACTGAATCACACACTCTCCACAATTGAGCAATTAAAATAAAATTTGAATGAAGAAAAATACTGCTCCTGGATGGAGGGAGGAGCGGGGGGAAGGAGCGGGGAGACATTTGTGGAAGATAAATGTGAAATCAGTAATGTTAAGAAAATTGGGCTATTTGTACTATGAAAAGGTTACTGAAATTGACATTATTCTACCTGTGCTTATAATAATAAAAAAAATTAAAAATGATGAAACCTATTAATGAAGAATAACACATAAGCTAAGAAAGGCATTGAGTTAAATATGTGTAAGCTATGTTTTTTTTTTACTTTGAACTCAATTTGCAGCAGTTAAAATAAGCTGAAAACAGGAGAAAGTGGGAGGAAGAGAGAAAAACTGGGACATTTGAAAAGCAGTTGAAACAGTGGGGTGAGAAAAATTAATTGGGACTGTCTGTGCCAAATCAGAACAGTTGGGGAGTGTGGCACCCATGTATACTCACTAAGGGCCCTTCCACACAGGCCCTAAAATGCGAAAGAAACCAGGATAAAGGGGGGGGGGTAAATGATGTTTAAGGAAAATGCATACTGATTCAGATTAACAATTGAAAAATGTGCATATTCGCATGTATATCCCTGCAGTCAAGGAAAATATGTGACTTCATTCCCACATCTTGGTGTGGACTGCTCCAGTGCATGAGCACATTTTAAAATCCCAAAACAGCTGATCAGGACATTAAACAAATGGAGACATGGGCACACAGTCAATTAAATGGAAGCACAATAGGAAAGCAATTCCCATGAAAACTCTCTGCAACTATTCCACCGCATCTTAGAGCGTCAATTATAAAAATTAATCTTCCGCTGGATGTGTCCCCCACCCAATCCATCCATCCATATTGTCAACGTCCCCAGTCCATCGTGCGCATTTCTAAAATCCACTACAAACAAAAGTGCCAGGGCAGCGGAGGCCCATTTACCGAGACTGACAGGACTGCATTTGGACTTACAGTCCAGTCCTGCGATTTTTTGCTCCCCTTATTTTCCCCACATTTTGATGCTGTAAGCGCCCTAAGAGTAGTCTTTTGTATTTGAGTTATTATGAAAACGAATGGAGGAATAAATTGGTTGCAAAATGTTTAAGTCTTCTTTTCAAATATACAGTTTTGAATAGTTTTGTTTTGCTTCTATTTATATTGTAACTAATTTTAATGTATTTTTATTTCCAATCTACATCACAATATTTACTAGAATATTCCCATGCACTATTTCTTTGGCACTTTTCCTTACCTTAGAATAAAATGGAAAGGTCAAACCAAAGTTTAAATGGTATGATTTTCTCCCATGCCATTCAGCATGCCCACCATTAATTATAAGAGAAATTTTAGTAATAGTTGCACAAAAAAGAGTGAAAATAACTTTTGTCAAAATGTAGTTATATCTTTATTACTGAACAGGCACAAAATTACTAGTACTTACCTATCTCCTTGTCTGGGAAAAGAATTACAGAGGTAAATGCTATGGAGTTAGCCATTTATGCTTGGTTTAATTCAGAGCAATCCTTTTTATGGCTTCATTTAGAACAGCAGGAGGCAACTTTTCATAGGCCATGAAACTTTTTAAGGACAATTTAGACCTTAAATTGGGACTATTTTTCAAATGTCCAGTTATACCCCCAGAAGGTGCAACTGAACATTGTTACTTTTGTTTTTCAATGTGAGAAGTGTCAAGGACAGGAGTGCAAAGGGTCCCCGCTAGACTTCAGCCGACTGACAGACTGATTGAGAGCTATATTTTGGAGAAGACTGGAGATGGGGAAGGATAGTAGTCCCACCTCCAAAGCTGCCTGCCTCTCATAGTGACTTCCTGGGAGTAGAGCCAACATTCTGGTAATACTAGTCCTTGTTCTCAAGAAGCCTTAATTTGGATCCGTGGTGGTATATGACACGGTATGGGATCATCTTCCACAGTTCTCCCTGACCCATTCTTGGCATTTGAGGTTGAGATTTCTCTCTCATAAAGCATCAGAATTCCTGCTGCCTAATCCACAGTAGCATAGTCCTGCATCTCAAATGTCCATTGACCTGTAAGGAAATCCCCCTGTGCCCCAAAGTTCGGTATTTGCAAAGCTATCCCCTAACTGGCCTCTGTAAAGGACCAGTGGGTAGCCTTTGTGTAGGTCTACTGCCTCGGGACTAAGGGCACATCTACACAGACCATTTAGGTCAGTTTCAAACCAACTTTGAAGAGAGGAGTTTCTCTGTCCAGACGATTACATAGGAAATCCTGAAATGTGAGATGTGGATGGTGATTACATAAACCACAGAGTTGAATGTGCATCAAGGGCTTTCTTTCATGCACTGTCTAGCTGCCACAATTTGAAGCTTGCTAGTTTTGAACTGCATTAAATGGCCAGTGTAGATGGGATTTACATGAAATCCTCAGCTTGATGTACTTGACCTAGTGTACATCTTTAACAAGAGCATGCTTCCATACTTAAGCAGCCTATAGAAAGAACAAGATTGGCTATGCACCATTTCCCTTCCTAACTGTGTCTATATGTACAAGAGTACAGTTCCTAATACTGGTTTCCTTAAGAATTTAGATTGCATGTGAAATTTAGTTCTAATCTAGCTATTAACAAAAGGGATTTATATGGACTAGTCCAATTTGGGGATGAATGCCCCCATCTATACTGCCATAGCATGCAGTTTCATAATGACATTTAACTACATTGAACTGTGTTACAGACAGTCCCCAGGTTACAAATTTCCAAATGACTCATAGTTAAGAACATGAATGAGACAACAGGAAGTGCGAGAAAACTACTCCTTGGAAGGGAAACTTACTGTTGGAAGAGTTATCGTGGGAGAAAAGGTGGCTCCACAGGAGCTTTATTACCAACCCTTATTTCCACAAGCCAAATTGTTCAAAATCCAATTATTACAAAAAGGCAAAATCTTCTGAACAGGGACACAGACAGCAAAACAAATGCCACGGGGGTATTAATCCTTCCCCAGGCTATCCAAACATATATATAAGCAAAGGTTTTCCCCTGACATGAAGTCCAGTCGTGTCTGACTCCGGGGTGTGACACACACATTTAAATATTTATTCAAACCTCCCCCCCCCCTTCTATATATACACACACACACATACACACACACATTCATATAGGGGGGGGGGAGATTTGGATAAATATTTAAATATTTGGCTGGAGTTACACTTAAAAATCCACCTGTTCTGACTTACAAATACATTCAACTTAAGAACAAACCTACAGAACCTATCTTGTCCATAACTTGCGGACTGCTTGTATATGAGTCTACACTGCCATATAATGGAGTCTCAAAGCCTGGAAAATAGCTGTATAGAATGCTATCTTCTTTCATTTTGACTCTATAACTTGGTACTTTTCTGCAGGACTCTATGTGCTGGTGGGAGCAGGTGCCCTGATGATGACAGTGGGATTTTTTGGGTGCTGTGGAGCTGCACGGGAATCTCAATGCCTACTTGGAGCAGTGAGTAATACACCTAAATGAGATTTAAAACATTGAAGGGTTTTTCCACCCGAAATAATATTGTCAATCTTTTAAAAAATTATAATGCCAGAAAAAAGGTATAGGACCAGAATTGGTCCATATTTCTGAGTCTATGTTTTGGGGGGATTTTAGAATATTTACACCTATAAAATGAGATATCTTGGAGATGGAACTCAAATCTAAGCATGAAATTCATTTATATTCCATACACACCTTAGGCACATAGCCTAAGTATTACTTTCTACACAATATTTTAAATAATTTTGTGCACACAGAAAAAAAACGTGTAGATTGAACCATCAGGATGCAAAGGTATAACTATCACAGACAGTCATGTGAACAATTTTGAAATTCTGGATGCTGAACTTGTACTTCTCTCTTTTCTTCGTCTATTCACACTTCAATTTTGACACTTCAGTTCTGTTCTTTTTTTTTTAAAAAAACCAGAGTTTTCATTCTTTCTAAACCAGATGTTGTAATCTGTTTTATTGCATTTATATGTTTAATTTTTTTTATAATTTGTATATTATAATTATTATTTGTTTATAATGCAGCATTGAATTTGGCCATGGTCTGTAAGCTGCTCTGAGTCCCCTTCAGGGTTGAGAAGAGCGGGGTATAAATATAGTAAATAAATAAATAAATATGTTAATGTTATTTTACTAACCATGCTTTCATGGTTTAATATCCTGGTGGGTGAACCACCTTGAAACTAGAATTCCTATTTTGAACATAGTAAGAAATCCAACGGTTCAAAAGTAATTGTTGTACATCTTTCGTTATTGTGTTCTTTTATATGAGAGAACAAAAGGTTTTTTTTTCCCCTAATGGTCAAGATTATGAGACTATTTGCCATTTTTGGTGATTTGGGGTTTGTTTAAACTATGTAATGTATTTATAACCATATTTAGGGTGAACATTAAATATGCAAGACAAACTAAATCTTTTATCTTTTATCCTTTTATTTTTTTGATATAGTTCTTCACGTGTTTACTGGTGATTTTTGCTGCTGAAGTAACTGCAGGAGTTTTTGCTTTTCTTGGCAAGAAAACGGTGAGTGAGATGTTTGCCAGAGAGAAAGATTCTGGAACAGGCATGGGCAAACTTTGACCTTCTGGGTGTTTTGGTGCCAAAAGCAGATTTGCTGCCAATCGTGACTACAAAGATTTGGTTTTTATTTTGGGGAGAAAACCTGGTGATCTTAAAACCACAGGGTGGAAAGACGTCTCCTTTTCCTACACAGATGCCCCATCTGTAATGTGTAGTAAGTATGTTATTCCCCAAATCTACAGTTTTGGTCCCTTCCTAGAACTGTAGTCTTTTCTGTTCCTTTGCCTTCTTTTCTGTTAGTTTATTCTGAAGTGGTAGAGCATATCCTTCCCACATTTTTGAACTACAAGTGCAGTCATTCCTAGCCACCATAGTCTGAAAATGTACTGAAAGCATCCTGAAAGTAAAGAAGCTGCATATTACAGAACCTCCAAAGGTTCCCTTGTATTATTGTCTTATATTGTTATCTTATTAAGGTTATGTGTCTGATTCCCTACAGGCTATTGAAGAGGTCCAGGCTATCTATGATGAAGCTTATAACGAATATATCAGTGATTCGGGGAAGAACCAGTCACTTATCCAGATGCACAAAGCAGTGAGTAACCATTTGCAAACACAGCTCTTTGGTGTAGAAACATTAGTTTTCAAAATATTAATTTTTCAAAATATTATTATCTCTCCTATTTTAAAATGCAGGCAATCCTATGATTTGGTGTTGTTGAAGTCATTCCTCATATATTTTAGTGCTTTGGCTGATGCTATTCCTTTGAGCAGCCTAACTTGATTTCTTGCAGTTTTGCAGAATTACAACTCTGATCACTGTCAATGCCATGCTGAGAGCAAAGAGAGATTTAATCTCATGGTTCCAGAGAGCAATCTTCTTGGCTTTTCCAGCCATGCAGATTCTCACGTTATCTTTCCTGAAACTTGCCTGTGGTTAGTTCCAGTATATCTGGAATCTGCCTCTTCTGATCTTTGATTTCAGACACCTGCCTTTAATGTTTACATTTGTACTGTTGTGTTTTTTTTCTTTTTTATCCTGGGACAGTATTTTGACATTTGAAAGTAATAACATTAAGAGTTTTCTTTTTTCTTTTCTTTTCTTTTCTTTTCTTTTCTTTTCTTTTCTTTTCTTTGCAGCTTCAATGCTGTGGGAAAGAGACTGACGTTCTAGTGAAATCTACTTGTCCAAAAGATATTGAACTTCCCAAAGTAAGTTCTTCTAAATAGGCATGTAAATCTGACACTGTAGCAGAAAATAGCTGTGGAATGGGATCAGCAATGTGAGTTAGAGAAACTGGTAAGATGTGGGCGTATACAGCCAAATAATATGCTTTGGACAGGAGCCACTTGGCACAAGTTTTTTCTTCTTACCATTAGTTATTTGAGATGCCATTGAGGATTTGCCAAAAGGAATGACTTTTAAGAATCAGTCGTTTCTGCCAACCAGAAATGGATGCTCTGTACATCCGACAAATTCCTCTACAACTAGGGATTTATAGGGTGGGGGTATTCAATCTAGTTGCTTGGTTTGGTTGGGAGTTTGTGGGTTTCATGAAGACAGCTACATAGAAGGAAAAACTTGAACTCATATAGTGCAGTTTTGTACACCATTGCTATTTAGTATGTTTAAAACAGTAAATCGTGTCGTATATACCTTATACGCCTGTGTATAAGGTATACAATTTGTGCATATAGTATAACATTTTGTGTGTCACGTTGGTCCATTTTTGTGCATTCATCTGCCTTTCTATAGAAGTGTCTGAGCATTTATGCCCACTGTGATTTGCACGACACTAGTTTGTCCCTTCTCCTTTCTTTGTTAAATACCTGTGACTTGGCTGGTCTACACTTGTGATCCACATCCTGTGACTGGTTTAGTATTAGAGACATTGAGAGAGATAGCAAGCCTAAAGCAATCTAATCAATCTAGGATTTAATTCAGTAAGGAAGCCCAAACGTTTATTGCACTTTCAGACTCTGTGAATCCTTTGTCTAATTTGATCGTAAGTGAAATTCAGTGGCATCCCATAATTCATATCATCCCTCCAAGATCTCCTGATGGGCTAATACAGAGCCCTAGCCATCCACAATTGTCATTCTTGTTCTAGCCAGTTGAACAGAACAGAATTACCTGGATGATTCAGGTTTGTTTATTAGCCAAGAGATTTTATTTTAGATTTCACAGAAGAAATGACGAAAAGACCAGCACTGAACACACATTGCATTATTTTTTGTTTAGAACTAAACATAGGAAACCTATCACTTTACAGAAGTTTTTGTAGGGCAGCTCCCAGCAGCTCTAGTTAGTGATAAGAAACTGAGAAACTGCTCAGATTTGTTGGGTAAAGAATTGAGGTGTGTTTGGATATACATTCCATATATTTTGGATAATTGTACCAACATAAGGGGCCACAGCACTCAAGGCAGTGTTTTGATGGTGGTGTGTACTAGGGGGTCCCATATCTTTCAACTAGATCCCATCACACAGTTTGAGCATAGCCAAGGACTGCATTTTCACTGAAGCAACAACATTGGGGATAAGAATGGCTAGAGAGCCAGCCCTGGTGTGCCATGTGTGGGAGTCACTACAGGTATGATTGAAATTATTTTTAAAGCCTGAGGCAGAAAGTGCAGAAGGGCTGCACAAAATTGATTTCCCCCCCATGATTGCCACAGGCGAAGATGATTGTAAAGACTGATGTTTAAAAAAAATAGAAATGACTGTTTAGGACTTACTCTGTTGTCTTTATATCTTTAACAGAACTGTCTGGTTGAAATTGAAACTTTCATTGACTCAAAGCTTCATCTGCTTGGCATTGTGGGGATTGGAATTGCTGGAATCACAGTAAGCCATTGTCTAATGATAGTATAGGTTGAGCATCCCTTATCCTGATTCTAAAATCTGGAATACTACAAGATCCAAAATTGTCCACATGGGCAGCTAAGATAGTAACACCTTTGCTTTCTGGTTATGCATCATGCCCAATTTTTAAAAAATATATTATATGAACTTTCAGGCAATGTGTATACAATGTATACGAAACATAAATAAATTCTGAGTTAGACTTGGTTCCCATCATCAAGATATTCAATTATTTATGTATATAAAATACAAGTATTGAAAAATCCAAACAAAATCAAAAAAGCTTCTGGTCCCAAGAATTTCAGATAAGGGATGATCACAGTGTCATTGTTGTTACTGTTCCTATTGTTTTTTATTGAAAAGACCCACATCTTTCTAAGGCTTTCACATGGGAGAACACTACTGAAAAGGCATAATGGGTGACTATATCTGTACGTTAAACCTCAGCTGATTCTGTCCATCTTAATTCAGTCAAATCCTGCTAAATCTTAGAATGCTGTTTGCAAAAAAAAAAAACCCTCAATTCACTCCCTGTTGAAAATCAGATCTCAGGTCACATATTTGAATTAAGAAATTTATTTTTGTAAATTAGCAAAATGTTTCCCACGGGACATACTCACACAGTAAACCATGCCTTTGTGGAAGATGCCACTTCTATCTAGCTGGCGAAGTAGGCTATGGGGCTCAAGTAACAGTTTTGGAATGGTGGGGAATATTTTCCTTGCAACCTGATACTTTTAGCAGCAGCTGGTCAAGGGTCTTCCCTCTCTTGACACATTATGGCTGCAGTTCTGTTTCTTCTTTCAGGAAGCTATTTGTATTAGAAGCATGTGCATGTTCATTGATTTCACATAAGTAATGGAACATTTAGATTGGACCATCTCAAAGTCAGGTGCCTGAACATATGATAATTCCTTCCCCCGTAAAAATTATATCCCTTGAGTCCTGCTTCACATTACACATTGTTCAATGACTTGATGATTGAAGACAGAGGTTGCAGGAAAGACTTGTAACAGAGAGGAGCAGAATCCAAGTAGAATGTTGTGCATCAGCCAAAAGAATCTGGCAGAGATCGGAATGAAGACACTAGTGCAGAGTTAAGAAAGTTCTAGGGGACTGGGAATAATTTTTCCTGACCAGGGACGTTCAAGCCCCTCCATGTAAAATTGGCTTGGAGGATTAGTCCTCCCTGGGACAAGGGGAAGAACTCAAATAAAGGTGACCAAACTAGACCAAAACCTCGAAGCATCCTGTTGCCTGCATGATTCTCATCTTTGATTGTGAAGTGCAGCTTTAATTTTTGATGTACAAATGCAATTAAAATGGTAGGTATGGCAGACAAACTGGACAAAAATTACAACCATTTTTGAGCATCTAATTTAACTTTTTGTTTTCTTATCTTTTAGATCTTTGGCATGGTCTTCAGTATGGTTCTCTGCTGTGCAATCCGTAACACAAGAGACATGCTCTAGAACTGTCACTGCATAGCATTGCTTTCATCCCATGGATTGGAAGGCTTCCTGACGGAACCTGCAAGAAGCGCTTGCTTGCTCAGCTTAACAACTGTAACCATTTTTAATTAGCGGTGTTAACCAACTGACAGAGAAAAGGGGACGTATAGTTAGCCTGAGAATTTGCGTCATTTGCATTCTAAAAAATTAAGACCATGAAATCTGAAGTGAGCAAGTAGGACAAGCTTAACAAGGCATTGCTGAAGGCAGTGGCAGCACCTGAAACTAAAATTTCTTTGAAGTAAGACTTTGCACATGTGTGTGAGTGAACTGTGCCTGTATCTCTACATTCAAGTGCATGTGTGTTTGTTTTGGCACACAGATGCACATGGTGCGGCTGCACAAACATCTGTATATACAGTACTCAGTATGACTGTAGGTATGTTTTGTGGGTGAACCATATTTGCATGCATATTTCCACAATATATATATATACATACACACACACACTTGGGTGCAGCAAACTCAAACTCAAACCATTTCCAAATGGACTCTTCTTGGTTGATAATTTATGGAGAAGCAAATCTTTTTTAACAAACAAAATACCCCATCTGACTTCTATCCATAGTCTGCAATGAACTAGATATAATTAATTAGGCTGAAGTTAAATTTGCTGGAAACAAGCCTGTAATCCTATACAACTCTACTCCTTGGAATATATTAATTTATTTGGCACATTCTATTTTTGAGAAAGGAGGCAATATAAGGGGTCCCCGGTGGACTCTCTGGCCTGCACAAATAATAGAAGCTAGAGCTACTGTAGGGCATTTCATCTAGGATGATCATACTATTACTGCTCCAGGTGCGTTGTGGGTAAAACTGTAGAATTTACACTGTATGCTTGAAATACCTCAGGAGTGAGTTTACAGTTTGCAACTGTGCTTTGTAGTGTTTCTATTTATTTATACTAAAATGTTCCTAGTGGGAAAATAACCTGATGGAATCACTGTAGCTGGCCAGAAGGAAGTCATTTATGGTGCCATCCTAATACGTTACAATCAAGAGGATCTTTCCCTTAATTTCTATGGGAGGTACACCCTTGGGACCTGTAAAAAAACCTGTCATTTCTTTGATAGGCTGTCATGTTCAGAGTGGGAACCTCTGTTCTATCTTCTTCTGATACACTGCTATGTTTCAAATGGGAGCAGGCCACCTAAAAGAATATTTCAGCAAACCATACTAGTTTCCTAACAAATACTGCAATCCATGCACGTGTTCCATTAAAACATAAGCTTAGGAGACCTCAGCCAAAGTTTGTTACAGCAAAGTGCAATGGATACCCAAGTATGCTTGTGCATATCTCTCTCTGTGTGTATTTGTTTAGAGCTACAAAAGCTCCCAGCTGTATGCAGTCTACTCCTTCCTTCTTTCCAGACATAATGACACCAATACTTTGGTTGTACATGTTATCTGACTCTGTAGCTCAATCTCCATCAAATATCTAGACTCTCAGTAATATATTTCAAACAACAGAAGCAGGCCACAGCCTTATGGGGCATCTTGTGACCAATTCACCCTATTTCAACAAGAGGAATATTTAGTGTCTGCAGCTTCTTATACCAAGACTGAGCTTGTGGTGTGCCAAAGATATTACTGTGAGCCTAAATGACTGAGGTATGACTTTAGTTTATTCAAGAAGTGGACTTTTCTTTATTACACAAATAGTTGAAATTTGCTGATGAAAAGGGCTCAGAAACAGCTGGGTAAAATCTGTGAGTAAGAGGACTGTTGTTCAAAAGTCATCAGCAGTATGGTTATATATTAAAATGAAGATTTTGGTTTCTGCTGGAAGTTCTATCAGTTTTCCACTTGAAAAGACATGTATTTGAAATTTTAATTTTGGAAGAAAATCAGGAGAACAAAGGAGCCCATTCTAAGTAAATTCCAAAACTATTTACCTTTTCCATTCTAGTGTCCAGAATTTGCCCTAAGAAAAAGATTATCTCCTCTAGTAGCTTTTAAATGAAACCAAGTTTTCCTAAAAGTAAAAACAGCAAGTCAGATTGGCAAAATCAGCAGCTTCTGAGCAGGGTTGTTGTAGGTTTTTTTTGGGCTGTATGGCCATATTCTAGAAGCATTCTAGAAGCATTCTCTCCTGACGTTTCGCCTGCATCTATGGCAGGCGTCTTCAGAGGTTGTGAACTTCTGAGGACTTTCTAAAAATTATCCGATAATACCATCCTTAGCTTTGCTTCAGCCCCTGCCTCCTCTTTTACTCTATTCTGACCTTTCATTTGCCACATACAAACTCTACCAAATCAGCAAAGGCCCATCCATTTTGCAGAGTTCTAGACTACAAAATTCAGCTTCCCTGGATGCTTTAAAATGATGCTGATCCTTTTCTACCTAGATGACAAGGGCCAGTGTAAGCAATGTTTTCCCCATATTATGCTACATGTCTATTTTTTTGTTCATTACTTTTCCCTTTCTCTTCTGTGCTTTCTGTCCTTGACTTATTTTAGGCCATGAGACAAGTGAGATGTAATCTGTTCTGTTTTGGAGGTTACATTTCTCAGTGAAAGAAAGAAATACATTCACTTCACACATATACACTAACTAGAAAAAGATAATGCCAGAGCAAAGGTATTGGCAATTCCAGGATAGAAATGGCTGCAGGTTGGCTTCTGATTAGCTTTCAGTATGAAATTTCTATGAAATGACTGTGTCCTTTGCAGACCTCACCCTGGCCTGGTGAACAGTGCTGATAACCAAGCTGTGGGTTGCAAACCAAGGGTGGGGATGTGGTATCCATATTGGCAGATGGGGCTATGTACACGCCCACTGCTATTGGAATTGGAGCCGCAGAAACATACACATATGCACACATGCCATTCTTTTATTTATGTGGCTTCAGAGTAATGACAACATGTTGGCCTTGCTGTCTTTCATCCCTGGCTCCATTCGAATTCCTAAGCTAGGAAAAATCACATTTGTTTTCCCAAAAGTCTTCTGATGTTCTTATTCCCTTCTTTACCTCTAAGTGCCTTTTAAAAATATATAAACAGGACTGAGAGCCAGTTCTACAAACAGTTTTTTTAATTAAACTCAAACTTGAACTGCATTATTTTCTAGTGGATTCAAACGATCCTAAATCTTGTTGTGTTTATTTCTATGCATGTGATTATTATACCTGTCCTCAAAGTATGTGTTTGGAATTACAGGTCAGAAATGCAATGGCACCAATTGTTTACATCCGTGTGTCTGAAAATTCAGTATACATATATTGTCTTTCAGTGCCTTGAAAAAACTTCCACAGCTGTAGCCTTTCCATCTCACTGTAGTTTCCCGTAATGCCATATTAGTGAGGAGTCCTTTGACTCTTGAGTTACATTTGAAGTACATTGTACCTAAAATAGCAGTCCTTGCTGGAACTGTTTATTCTTTCATAAAATTTGCATTTTTCTACAATGTTTAACTAACTATGTGCAATTAACATGCTATTTTTTTCTAAATTTCTTGCTTTATTACACGAGTTGGCATATCAAAACCATCATGCCAGGCTTTGCTGAAAGTGGTTCATGACATGTCCAAATAATCAGACCAGTTCGCCTTCAGGTTTACTAAACCAGTAATGATGCTGTTAGGAAGCATTATGACTACTAATAAGCTACCTTGGTTTCTTGTGGATATAAACCCCCTTCTTGTGCTGCTGCTTCTTTGGCTGAAGCCTGAGATCCTTAGTCTATTCTCAAAAACTGGTAAAGAACATTTGTGAAAAGGAGTCTCCTTTTCCAGAAATTTTAAAGCAGAGGCTAGGAGGTGATCTTTTGAGGGTGCTTTGATTGTTTGGGTAGGACGGCCAATGTGGTCTCTTCCAGCTGTATGATTCTATGGAAACTGGACACTATTGAATCTACCTATATCAGTAAGCAAGCAGCAGTCTGAAAATATCTCAAGACAAAGCCGTGATTACAGTGATGCATTCACATCTTTGCTAATTGAGCAGCATTTCTCCAAATCAAATGCAGCATACGTGGTCTGTTTCTACACTGTGATCCTACCAAGTAATTGAATGCCACTTTTGTGGGGTGGTACACAGATTTAGGGCCCCTTAAAATGCATATAGAAAACTCTTATTGGGAGAGCAAGCATCTTCTACTTTTGTCCTGTATCGGTACATTATAGATGCTCTGTCTTGATTAATGTAAATACGGGTGTTTTCACTAAGCATAGCAACAACCATAAAGAATTCCAAATTTTCCACTATCTTCCAGAGGATGCGCACCATTATTGGAAAGTCCTGACAAACCTGCAGAAATCAGGCCAAAGCTGACAGATACAGCAGCACAAAATCACCATGCCTCTTTCCAGTCCCATTTCACTTCACCTGGGGAAAAGAATAATATTTTATAAAAAAAATAGTTTGTTTTCTGTTGAAAGGTATGTGCTAAACTCTTATTTGTACACCTTAAAACTTACATTGTAGAGTTTGTGAAGAAAGGCCCATTATTTGTTCACACGTCCATGGTAATGTAAATAAAAATAGTCCATCCTAGTGTGCCTGGCATCTGATAGCATCACATGTTTACTATGGGAAATCAACTATGTTCACTATCATCTAGTTATTTCCCCTGGCTGTAAATGTTGTTAGTAGTTGTTCTATTACTGAAACATGTTCAAGCGTGGCCTGCTTTCTGGATGCATTTCTTTTATCAGCCTTTGTTTACTGAATTTGAAGCAAAAAATCTAATAAAAATAACCAAAAATAAAAAACAGTGGGATGCTTCTTTTTGTTAGCCAACATGTCACACACTATTTACATTGCCAAATATAGAAAAGAAAGTTGGGTGGCCTTTCCAATAACATTTCTCTAAAGTTGGCACCATATATCAGTAAAAGTATCAAGCTGTAAGAAACAATGAAAAATCAATAAATAAAAGAACCCAAATGAGTTAGGGTAAACTAAAAATCAGGACAAAAAGATGGGTCCCTGAAAAAGAACATGAAGGAAAAATTAGAAAACAGAGTTAATGTTTAAAGGAACTGCCGGCAATAGCAAGAAGGTATTCCATAGCTAGAATGCAACAGCAGAGAAAGCCCATGTTCCACATAATGTACTGCTCGAACCCAAGTACTGAAATCCGAATCCATTTAACAGTTTGAACATCATTATCAGCACCTTGAACTGACCAGAAGTGCACTATCAACTAGTTAAAGTCCTTTCAAGTGTTCCTGTCACATAATCTTAAGAAGAAGAAAAAGAAGAAGAAGAAGCAGCAGCAGCGGCGGCGGCGGCGGCAGCGTACCTTACCACCCTCTCCCCGAAGGAGACTCGGGGCAGCTAACATGAGGCCAAGCCCAAAATTACAGTACAGCAAAATAAAATACAAAGAAGCAAAAATAACATCAAGATGAAATACATGAAATAACAAAATAAAATCAACAGTTACAAAATAACATGATAGAGAAATAGAACAGAGTGGGCGGGCCAAATGCACTAGGATAAAATTGATAAAACCCTCGATGAGATAAGTAGTAGGAGAATGTGTTTCTGGAGGAGGAGCTCAACAGGAACGAACAATGGGATTAGACCTTCATTGAGGACGAGGGAAAGTGCATCATGAGGATGGAAACTGTAGTTGGAACAGACAAAATATGGAATATATGTTCATTCACCAAAGGCACATCAGAAGAGCCAAGTTTTTAGGTCTTTCTTAAAAGCTGCCAGGGTAGCGAGTTACAAATTTGAGGGGCCACAGTTGAGAAGGCTCACTCCCTCGTCTCCACACATTGTATTTGTGATTAAGGTGGGGGTGAAAAGAGGGCCTTCCCACAGGATCGGAGAGATCATGCAGGTTTATGGTAGGAGATGTGGTCACGAAGGTAGGCGGGTCCCAAACCATTCAGGGCTTTGTAGATGATAGCCTGCACTTTGAATTGGGACCGGAAGATGAACGACAACCAGGGCCGTAGCCAGAAAAAAAAAATCGGGGAAGGTTGAAATTTTTTTTGGGGGGATTGAAAATTGGGGGGGGTAGGGTCACGCTGAAGGAAAGAGCACAGCAGGGGGGAGAGCAGCCTTCAATAGCCTGCAGCTCTGCCCCTGCCAACTACCTCCACCAATTCTGGCCTCCTTAATGAGAGCATTCAACACCCCCCCCCCAACTTGGTTGCTTTGCTACATCGGCTATTGCTGCAAGTAATGACAGTGTGAATAAATTGTCAATATTTGCTTGAGATAGTGCTTGCAGTTCTGGGGGGACTCTTAATTTTTTGTGTCTCATAGACTTAGCATGGGGATTTGGTTAACCAGTTAAAAT